CAGCCACATCAGCCTCACATTTATGTCACATAATAGAATGTTCACTTTGTCTGGTTTTGTTGCAGTCTGCCCCATATAAAGCACCAGACTTTGAGTAAAGAGTAGGAAATTTTCTTTCTCAACATTCAACCCCTTACCTTCTGCCTTTCAACTCCTTGTCGCCAAAGCGTTGCCTAATAATTAACAATTTACTAAAATAATACAATAATTAAAAATATTAAAACCAATAAGACATACTAATACCTTCATATGCCGCTCTCTTTTTCCTGCTCCATCACGTGTAGCCAATGCATCATAGAGCTTTATACCTAATATAGTTCGTACATATGATTGTCGTTTCCAAAGCCTACACTTGTCCATCAATTCAGAGGAACTTTGAGTAACAGCTACTTCAACCATTACCCTTGCATACGGGTTTCCCTACCGCATAAGTATTAATATTTAGAATATCATGAATATTAATATACAGTACACGATAATCAAAAATACCCTTATGTCGCTGGGTGGTGGACCAGGGTGAGAGACAGGAGGAGCTGGAATGTAGGTCCGATATGGATAAACAGCAAGATCTGGTGCTCTGCAAATTCCATCTGGTGCATCATGAACTTTGAAAGGATATAATAAATACTAGACACAATAAAAAGTGAGAAATATCAAGTAAATTGGGAAAAAGTTTCTTACGTGGCTGACCAAGAACTTGTATTGGAAGACACAGTTTACGGAAGGCGTTTCCAACAATCTCAATAACGGCTTCATGTTCGGGAGACGCCATTTCAACTATGTATACGGTCCCTTTCCTATAATCAAGCTTGTATCCGCTTATCTCTTTGTTTTCAATGAAAAAATTGTATTCTTGCTGGGATACGTTTGAGGCAATCGGAAAAGGAAGACTGCAATTCACACGAGTCAACACACCGGGCGAACTTCAATACAAACTAGTGCAATGTCTACTCACCTGCTTTCGTCTAACGACTTCTTCGGTAATTGAATCTTCTCTGACGAAAACGTCTTCTTAAGGACTGCTTTAAGTTTATTATGAGACATTTTTTATGATAGAGTCTTTAACTTGATTATGATAAATGGAGTGACTATCGCGAGGAACTTTTATTCACAAGATAAATGGAGTGACAAAGTGATCGCGGAGAAATAATTGCTTAATTTTATATTTGCTGTTCACGCAGAAAACTCAGCTGGTTCAACCAATACGGACGATCAACACGCTGTTGCAGGGGTTAGCGCAAGTTAAAATCAAATTTACCAATCACTCGGTAATTGAATGATGTCAGAATCACGACACGATGAATCTGTCACTTTTCAACCAAATTTAGTAACTTTTTAATTTGGTTCTGCATTATCAAAACATTTTACAAAACACAGTGATATAGAATATAGTGATAGGAGTATTATAACGATTCCTTTTAATTCAACTAACATGCAGAGATTTTATTTTTGAAGTGTACGTCGAAATAATTGACATAGTTTAATGCGTTTTTACGTGTTCTAAAAAATTCGTAACTTTACAGGCGATTAGTATTGTTTGTGATATTTACTTAGTGAAAATTTCAAAAACATTTGCTCATTTCCCATCCCAAATTACAGGATTCAATTGCTTATGTCTTTACTGTATGTACATGGAACAATAACGGACAAAGAAATGCCTAAATACCTAAGACCCGTTATACAGTGCATTATATTGTAAATATTATCTGTTAATGAAGATTAGTATGTACACTTTATTCTGCATCCAATGCTGAATCATAAAATTATTATCTGCTTGAGGCTCTGGTACATTAATACAGTGTGTAACGAAAATAATTGCCATCACAAAAAATTGCATAACTCAACAATGTCACAAGATATTTAAACAATTCAAAATGTTTCAGAAAGTTTATAATGTACTTTGTTATAGATAAAATTTAATATGAAATTATATCCCCGTTATTTTCCAAAACAAGCTCGCACATTTTTTTTATTGATAAAACTAAATTGTTCACTGTTTTAATTGAAATCAGGACATCCATTCTTTAACCATAAACTTTTTCAACTTATTAATATCCTTTGACATTCGTTTTTCAACATTGCTTTATCAGTAACAACGACTGGAGGCCCAACTCAAACAATTCGCTATGACTGGCTTAACGGCACTCAATTACCGAAGGAGATACACAAAAAAACTAATATTTCTACTTCATACAATCAGGTATAATCTTAATAAACTCCGAGATTCAGAATTTGTCGAACATAGGAAGGGAAATAGTCGTCGTTCACAAATTACACAGACGGTATATCTGCTTCACTGACATAATAAATGAGCCCTTCTATGTAATATATTGCAAACCCAGCTCCTGCCAGTTGCTCAAAGCAAGTATGGCAAAAACTGGCGCTTGCAACAAGATAACGATTCAAGCACACCTCGCGTGTTGCCAAGGATTCATTGTCGAGAATGGGATTCGGGTTATTGATTGCCCATCCAATAGCCCATACCTTAATTCCATAGAAAACATGTGGTAAATAATCAAATGTAAATTCGGGAATGTCTGACAATCCGAAGTTTTTATTGTGAAAAACGTTTACTTGATTAGTAGCGAAATGTAAATAATAGCGCGTTGACAATAAACAACGCGTTTCTAGTTTATTATACAAAATATTTTCGATTTTTCGAAGACAATCATTTCGTTGCACACTGTATGTATTATTGTTAAATTAGTAAAACTTGGTTAGAATTATTCAAAGAAAAAACAATCGTACTTATATTACAGGTAAAACCGGCGGACCTGGTTTGCTGATTTTTGTCCGGTTTAGCCAATGAACGGTTCAGAAAATTGTTTACCTATAAAAAGTTTCTAATTAATGAAAATTGGTGTAGTCGTGAGGCGGCCGGTTAAACGTTTAATCAGTGCCGGTTTAAACAGGTTTTATGTGTACTTAAAATGCGCTATATAATTTTCAAGTTTTCTGGTTCACCATGAGTTGAAGCTGATGTTTATTAGTTTTCGTTTTTCTCAATAAATTCACATACTTGTTGATCGGAATGAGGCACGTGAACGTTTTGTGCCCAATCGTAACTGTAATGAGCAGTAGCATTAACGCTACAATAATCAGTTTTACCTCTCGGCATAAAATGCGCATCTACTAATTTTCTCTGTTGTTCTGCTAATTTCGTATTTTTGTTGTAATAGTTTCTCTCTAATTTAGCCTTAACTAAATGTTCTTTGTATCTTTTTAGTAAGTCTCTCGCTTCTTCTTCCTTACGAGCATTATACTGTAAACCATTCCGAAAATGTTGGCACATGTCACATAAATCTGTTCTCGGACTCATAATTTGAATATAAGGCGTTAATTGTGTCATAACTTACGAAACGCATCATATTTTAACAATTTCAGTGTGCTACCATTTTCAAGACCTGCAATAAAATCACGATAGACCGCTTTATAACTCGTTTCGGCTGGCAATAGTGTCAGCGATTGAGTAATGCGATTGACATTTCTACCAGGGCTTGGTAGTCCATGGATGGGTTTTGTAATACCATAATATCAAATCATGTGATCTGATTAACATTTCAGCGCGTTTTCGGAACGTTTGATTCGAAAAGGTACAACATGGAAAACCCTCATGAAGAGCAACAAAACTCTTTGCTTAGCAGAATTATATCTAACGTTGTGAGTAGAAACATCAATATTCCAAATACAGCTAAAGTACATCACGCTTATACGAAGCTTTGTTATAGCAAAAGCTCAACGACGTGTTGGAGGACGTAAACGAGCGAATGGACGTAAGTGCAATAATTGTCAGTGTAATGTTCGGTATTCGCAGAGGATACTGACTGCCGGTTAATTATTACAGGAAATCAATCAATACAACGAGAAAATTGGAGTGTTGTCCCAAGTATGGGCAAACTATAGTAGAAATGTCATGTTTAATCTACAAAGCATCAAAAAACTAGAGGATCCGATCTAAACACGACTTTTGGTTCCTATTCATAAACGTCTCCTCCACGAAAACGGACTTTAGCTGGTCTGTCACCATGTTTCACCCAGACGTTGAAAGACATGTGTAAAGTTTATTCGCATATGGAATATGTTTAATCTTATTATTAAAAGATAAACTGACCATTGCTTAAAATTAATTTTGGATGAATGGTTTACACTTGGTGCATCTGCAGCCAGTGGTTACACTGCCGAAGGATATGTTAATGGGCAATAAAAATAGTTTAATACAAAGTAATTGTTGTATTTCATATTGGCATTAATTGTTAAAGTTATACTGGCTGAAAGTAGAAGATAGGGCACAATTTCGAGGCGCAAATTCATAATGCATTATGCCTTGGGGAAGCGACAGTTTTTGTGATTTGACGTAATAATTCTGACACGGCGATATCATCCTAAACATTGGTACCTTCGTCAGGTTAATCGCATCACATGATAAAGAATTAGATAATCATAATCTCGTACCTCAATAGTTTATGAAGCTTTTCTTCATCCCTTGAAATGTCCGCTGACCAACCCACGGCCACCGACTCTTCATCCAACTCTCCGCCTTCAACCTTCTTAGCGCTCCTCAATGATAATGATGACGACCACATAACCAACCTTCTCGCCGAAACGGTCCCACAACTAACGCAAAATACCATTACTAATCTTGAAAATATACCAGAATTTTCGGGATCATCTGCGCCACCATTGATGCCGTTTGGCAGATCAGAAGACGAGGATGGAGAAGAGTTGTTACTTGATCCAGAAGATTGGGATGAGAGAAGACATGGGGAAGTAATGTGGTTTACGGATGAAGAGATGGATGGCGGAGAAGAAGCTGATGAAGGTGATGAAGATGATGCGGAAGCTGAAGGCATGGAGGTAGGGAGCAGCAGTGAAGAATGCGAGGATGATGATTTGATTCCTTCTTTTGGGTGAGTTTTCATATACGTTGTAACTTTTTTTTTATTAACTCGATGTTTATACTTTATACGATTCTAACACGTAATTTTTCGCAGACGTCTTTTGGAGGAGGCCGAATCAGCACGAACGGCACTAGAAGCCGAAGGGTCTATGCCGAGTTTCTTTGCCGGTAGCGAGGAGGAATGGCGTCAATTTACTATCGATCTTCGGCTAACTAGCGGCGTCGGTAAAATCCGTCGGACTGTAAGTGTATTTTTCTTCTTGTTAAGTATGGATTGCATAGTTTATTATTCGATTCTCATTTACTTAATCGTCTGTTATGAACAATTCTTATGGTGCATATACGTTTATTATCGCCTATCGCACCTTTTCAAATAGCGCGGCTCAGAGTCCGCCCTCCCTCCGGACATTCGTGCCATGATTGGTGAAGCCAACAAGTTCTACGTTACCAGAGATTTTCAAAAGGCGACGGAATTATTGCAAGAAATAGTTAAACGAAACCCGAACATACACCGCGTTTGGTTTACTCTCGCACTGATACATGATGAGTTAGGGAAACACGAACGAGCATTACAACTGTTTATGGTTGCTGCACACTTGACGCCTAAAGATGGAGCCTTGTGGAAGAGATTAGGGTTGCTGTCGAGGTAAGAGCGTAGTCGAGAAATAGAGTCGGAGGTATGAATTATATAAAAGATTGGTACGGCCTTCTTTAAAGATTAAACTGTTCAAGGCTCTGTTTGGTATGATATTGCCAGCTTGAACGGAAAGTTAGAGTACATCTGTAATTTTGTGGTTACGACTTTATTTATTAGAAAACACAATCATATGAAGCAGGCCATATATTGCTATTCAAAAGCGATAAAAGCCAATAGCAATGACTTGGATGCAGTGTGGGATCGTTCCTATCTTTACGCAGAAACTGGGCAATTGAAAAAGGTAGTATGTTACTATGCATATGTATTTTTATTTTCAACCTTCTAACACATTCCACCCAAATCATGCAATTATCAACAGGCGCTCGAAGGTTATACTCAAATTTTAAAACAAATGCCCGACGACATGAACGTAGTTCGTGAGATAAGCAAAATTCATATCATGAACAATGATATTCCACAAGCTATATCCATATTTTCAGCTGCTTTTAATTCATATCTTTGTCGACCCTACTCGGAGGTTGCTGATGTCGAAGGCTCTTTTGGATATTCGGAAATAAACATGCTGGCGGAGTTATACATGTTACAGAATGATTATCAAAAAGCAATAGATGCAATTAAGAAGGCAGTGAGGTGGATTCAAGGACGAGAAAAAGAAACTTGGTGGGATGCTTTCGATGATGATAGAGAATATGAGGAAGGCGAGGGAGAAAGGGGAGTTGGAACAAACAGAAGGAGTGAATTTGCTGACGTGAACAGTGTGAGAGGCGGAGGAGGGTCTAATGTACGGTTACCTGCTGAGTTGAGGGTAAAATTGGCACAGTGCAGAATTCTTCTGGATCAAGCAGAGGAAGGGAAGGTATATTGGGAAAGCTGGTTTTGTCATTTATGCACTGCCATCGAGTTTGCTTTCGAACTTGTAGTTTCTCTTGTATTTTTAGATGCATTTGGAATACTTTTACCAATACGATATCAAGTCTTATATTGACTTGTATTATGATGTTGGCGAGACTTTGATGGATAAGAATTTGTTTGAAGATGCTTTGACTACATACGAAGCCATTTTATCGACCGTGAAGGTATCGTGGTAAACCGGTTTTATTCTGAATACAATTGACCCATAACAAGAATATTCATTCGGTAGACACACGCATTCTGCAGGACAAGTTGCAATGTCCCCAAGCTTGTATTCAAATTGGATTTTGTTACCGAGAATTGGGCGAGTTACGGAATGCGTTGGAATATTTAAAGGCTGGTGAGCTTCAAGCAATATATCTAATTAAAAAATTATGTGTTTTTATGCTGTTTTCCAAATACGGTTCTTAGTTTTGTAATTCTTATTAACTAATTGGTCAGCTGTCAAGGGTATGCCCAATAACTTGGACGTAAAGTTGGCTTTAGCAGAAGTATATGAAGATTTACACGAGGATGCAAAAGCATTGGAATTAGTTAATGAAGGTAACATGAGTCAGAGAATATTTAAATCGGATGAATTGATGCTAAAGCATTAGGTCTAACATTTTTGGGCATCTCATTCTTTATTCGAAGTTCTCACCATTCGCCAACTCCAACGCATATCGACAAACACAAATCCTTTGTCAGCCAACGTACAACCCGCTTCTCCTTCGCCTCCTTCACCTCCCTCACATCCATCTACTCCTGACTCTATTTTACCTCTAATTCCGGATGATCAATCTACGCCGCAATCTCGTTCCCAAACGCATCATGAGGAATTGCGTCAGTTTGCCGCCGAAAAACGAGAAGAAACTCGTATTCGTTTTCACCAACTAGACCTGCTTTCATCAAGAATAAATGCAGGCGAAGACAGTGCTGCTGAAGAATATTTAAACACTGCCAGAGCGTTGATGGATGATTGGTCAAATATGAAAGCATTTTATCCGAGAGATTCAAGATTTAGGGGCCTGGGAAGGAGATGGGGACGAAAGAGAAAGGGTCTGTTTTTGGCTATAGTTCAGGGCGGTGAAGGAGATGAAAATGAAGACGTAGATTTGGATGTGCAGGCCAGGGAGATGGCTAGGCGACTTAAGAGAAATCTTGGTAAGTTATTGAAAATGAGAGACGGATTACAGACGTATGTGCAAATCTGAATGGTATTGTTTGATCAAGCATATACATCATACACTGTTTATCAGCTGGTGAAAATGATGAAAAAACTCCTGTGGACCAGAGTAAAGTAATGTTCCAAGGGGTACCTGTGGCTGACTGGTTTGACTTCTTTGTTCAGGTATTTTATGATGTGTTATGTATGAAACTTGTCAAACTGCTTGTTTATTATCTACTGACTAACACACATGTTTTGTGATAAGTATGCAATTATAGCAGTTAAACACGGGCGTGAGAGTGAAGCATGTGATACACTAAGGAGAGCTAGTCTTGCGCGTGTTTTTTATCATGACGAGCCACGCAAGATTCTCTTTAAACTGTTATTAATGGGTAAGTAAAATTTATACTCGCGTCGTCTCGTGTATACTGCTAATGCAAAGAATAGGCGAGCTTATCCAATGCCTATCCGTTCAATATTACAGCGTGCGCCTTGCATTGGAATAATTTTGAAGTTGTATGTGAATGCGCTCGATTTTTCTGCATGTACAAGCAGTTTTATTCGGATACTTATTTGCTTTACATAGCGAGTATGTCGAGGTAATTGTAAGATCGTGATACTCGAGAGTTTAGTACGCTTTTGGCAACAAACCAACCACATAACACAACTTACATGTACATGTCTCTTTTCTTTGTTCGTCACAGCGGAAATAGCGCAGTCTCTTGCTTTGCATCCACCAACTCGGCAAAGTTCTTTATTCGCCAAGTGAAGGCGTTTGATGAGCTTGTCGAACGTTCACGCAATAACGAAGACAATGAACATGACTCGGATCTGGATATTGATACGGAGCCAAATGTTGTTAATAAGGAACAAAAATCTAAAACCAAATTTAAGCCGTCTATACATAGCGCTGCTTTGCTTTTATTACATGGCCATATACTGGTCTCTGCTAGGAGTTATGTTGCTGCAATAGGTGAATATGATTGGCGATGCACTTAATGTCATGACGCCTGTAATTATAACTAACACATTCATATTGTCTTGTTAACTATTTAGCTTATTATACTCGTGCCTATCAATTGTCTCCCAATGATCCCATCATAAGTTTGTGCCTTGGACTTGCCTATCTTCACCGAGCTATGTCAAGACAGACTGATAATCGACATTGTCAGATATTTCAGGTTATTATTTATTTAAAATAATGGTTGTTCATGATATGTTACATTTACATATTCTATTTAATGGAAACTTTTTTTGTAGGGATTTTCGTATTTATACAACTATTGCGAATTAAGAAATAGAAATCAAGAAGCAGAGTTTAATCTTGGCAGAGCACTTCATTCCATAGGTAAATATTGATTGTAAATATGTGCGAAATATTAACAAGGTAGTTAATTTGCATTTTTCGAAATATAGGATTGTATCATTTGGCTATTATACACTATGAAAGAGCATTAAAACTGCCATCACTCAGAGAAGAATTGATACAGAAAGGACAAGTACTTCATTTTGCAAATCACCATCATTGTAGCATTTAAACACGTCCTTTACTGTACTCTTTACTTACCTTCCATTTATTTCTTGTTCCTAGGTAACATCTGCTGAAATTGAAGAAGATGAAGATGATCCAACTGATCTTAAGAGAGATATCGCCTACAATATGGCAATGATATACATGGAGAGTGGATCACCAGCACTTGCTCAGCAATTATTGCGACAACATTGTACAATATAATTTGATGTAAGGGAAACTTTATTGGTAAACGAAACTGTTACTAGTATGGGAACTTGCTTCAATTAATTATAGTAAGACATGACTTCTTATAGATGAAATTATTTAATGTTACTATTTACTAATCCAGAAAGTATTACACAAGAGGCGAATAGGTTTGCAAACAAGTATTAGTATGGAAAGATATAGTGCAGGAATCATTTTTATTCCAAGTTGGAAAACTCCGTTCAGTCCTTAGACAAAAGATCATTATGGTTATGCTCTGTAAATTAGAATAGAACATGCATACGGTATTTAGCGCGTACTAATGATGCTCATTCACTTGTTTAATATCCACATATGCATACCCAGTAGCGCTGATATGCAACTGAATCACACATTCCATTTGAACAGGTTCAGAAGATTATTAGGTATTATAATTAACACAGTGTTCAAAAATTGAATTAGTTGTCGTTCGATGGCTAGATCGAGAGATTCCTTTCTAATACTCAAGAACGTAACAAATACTTAAGAGATACCCATTATAACAAATATATCACCATAATTATTAAAATTTAATTTTATCCAGCTTCACTATGTTTGTTGTCTACTAGTAATGTTTGGCACAATACAACAGACTGTGATATTAAAACTATTACTCTTCACTCCATTAATATTAGTATGATCCGAAATTCCATCGTACCAATTCTTCGACAAGTTACAATAATAAACTTATATTTCTACCAACCTAAATAGAAAAAAAAAACACGCAGATTCGGTTACAAATGGATACTAGCTAGCTTGATGTAATAGCTTTCAGATTCTGTTATCTTACCACTAAAGTCACCAAAATTATATCCTGTTGATTTTGTCTTTTTCTTTTCTTGCTCAACTGGATAATCTGCTTCTGTGTCTTCAAATTCTAGCGTTCTTTTTGCAGACGTTGACTTCAGGTATTTGCCAACACCGGCACTCACATTTGTACTTGGATCAGCAAGCCTGGTCAACTGTGTGCCAAACCATGTAGTTGTTTCCTGATATTATATAAAGGTCAGTCAAACTAGGACTAGAAAGAACAAATGGTCGATAATTGAAGCAAACCAACCTTCTCTGACTTTTCTTTGGGATTATTTTTCTTTTCTGCATTCTCCGATTCAAACAGTAGCTTCCTCTCCAATCGTTTCTCGTATTCTTCATAAGGATCTACGAATACCATCACATCTAGCATTTTAATTTCTTGCAGAGGGTAATCTGCTTCGTCGGTAGGGACGGATTCCATCTTGTCTAGTACATCTTTTCCTCCAACGAGCTTGCCAAATATTGTGTGCTTATTATCCAAATGAGTGCATGGACGGAATGTTATAAAGCTGCAAATTGCAATTAGAAAATTAAAAGTCTCTCGCTAATTGAATAAGTAGCAGGCAATGCAAATAACTTACAACTGTGATCCATTCGTGCCTTTACCCCTATTTGCCATGCTTAGAAGACCACGTTCATTATGCGACAAGTTGCTTTTGAATTCATCGGGAAAATCTTTCTTCCAATATGATTCACCACCTTTACCCGTTCCAGTTGGATCACCCCCTTGAATCTGTATATCGAATACAGTAAAGTACGAATATTTTAAAAAAAAACTACGTACGGTTTAGACATAACCCAAAACAAGGTAGGTAACCTTACCATAAAATTTTTTATTTTTCGATGAAACACAACATTTTTATAGTAACCTTGCTTGGACAGCATTATAAAGTTATAACACGTCCTTGGTGACTATTGGTGTAAGCAAAACTTAGTGTTGCATATCATATAATACGTTACGAATCAGCCAATCACTCTTACCTTATCACAGAACAGTTCGATATTCAAATTACCCATATTAGTTACGATTCGCGCGTATCCTTTGGCTTTTATCTCCTTGAACATAACTTCCTCTTTATCAAGCAACATATTCTCATTCTCTGTCACTGGAGTCATGGCTGTGGAAGTAAGGGATGCAGCTGCATATCCTGTAGAATAATGAGCCGCATTATATGGTAACTTTTTCTTAACTGGTTCGAATTTTTTAGCTTTTGCATCATCTTTGACAGGTGTTTTCTCTTTTTGAACTGTAGATTGGTCTGAAGAGGTTTTTTTCTTTGAAAAAATAAAACCGATTAAAACCTTACCCAAATATGCATGCGAGTCAAAACTTTAAACAAGATTTACTATAAACCACCGAGTATCTTACCTGTCCTGCAAGTTTTGCCAACACGCGCCCAGCAGAACCAGTAGCGCTGACATTTATATCATTAAGTGGGTTTTCTTTTGCATCTGAAATCAGTAAGTAATAGAGTTGATAACTGAAAGAAGGGTTCCTTTTTTTTTCTGGAAATTGCATGCAATTCTCAACCCACACTTTCGCCGAGATCTCAATTACCTTTATCTGATAGCTTCTGGTCATGTTTCACATAATAAAAGTTGGACAAATTACGCGCTTCAAGATTATGAGGGTCCTTGAGCAAATTTTAAGTGTTAATAAGAAGAAAGATATTTTGTGCACACAACGCCAATTTAATTACCTGAAGCACAATTATATCTGCTCGGGTAAAGGGTTCATCGGTCAAGAGATCCCTCCAATTCTTGGTCTTTATATTAAGTCTGTCAATTGCTTCATATGCATATACATTTCCCGTCGTCTTTATCGCGACGATATGCGTATGTTCAGTAAAGACACGAAAAGTTGCGGGACAATGATATTCTCCTGCCAAAGGATATATCGACATGAGTTCCTAATTGCGAGAAAACATCCGCTGCACTGCCAAGTGGCCTTACCATTTCCATTTTTATAAAAATTCAATTTAATCAAAGATTTCAGTTCCAATTTCTCGCCCGTCACTGGACTCTTCCCGTACTTTTTTATGTACGCATATATATTACTATTAACATGATTTACAGATTGCAAATACGATTATGAGTAGAAGATATGCTTGATCCGTCCTTTTGCTGGGATCATACCTTAGATCAAATATAATGCCTTCAGGAGTACAAGCTGGATGCGAGAACGGCTGCAAAGACAGCGAACAACAGTAAAACGGCAAACATTGGAAATTCTTTTCGGTCTTCTTTCTCGCCTGAATGCCCCCAAATTGCATACCACCGAACTCGCCCGACCATTCTAAATGACAAACACACTATTTCTTAAGCATGGTAGAATAAAAAAGATCTGCAACCGAAACCGGCACTTACCTGAATGAGTGATATACCTAACAAACAAAAGGAAGCAATGTAATTGACAGATGCACGAGATTGCAAAAAAATAATAATAATCTGAAAAAGACGTACAATTTGTCGGTCCCTTTACCCATGGCCTTTTGCTAGATCCGTTTTTTCTGGGGAGATTTTTTGGGGTGGGGTGCACCAATTTTATACTGTTTATAAACAACACGTGGTCGTGATATCTCGACATCTTACTCTTATCTTATCATCCTTTTTGTCGTTAGCACACCGCGTTGTAATAATATGAACACCGACGAAGTCTTGCGCTTGAAAAAATCACTTGAGAAGGCTACTCAAGAAGCGAGGCTTTCTGTAAGCTTTTTGATATCTCTAATCATTTGAGTGATATGATTTATACGTGGAGCGGCAGCTCCGGTTGAGATAACCCGTTAGCTGATTCATAATTTTCTTCAAAAATAGTCAACTCTTGAACTTTTACAGAGGTTAAAGGAAAACGTAAAACCGACAAAAGAACTGCTACGAGTAAGTTTCCAAAGTCGTTTCGAGATTGCTGTTAGCTTCCACGCTACTAATAACGGTATCTTTGTTTTTCTATATAACAGAAAACTGAAATAGGGCTCCTTGTTAGCAAACAAAAATCACACAAGAACGCAGATATCGCTAGACTTGCAAAAGAAATTATCGCAAAATGGAAGAAAGAAATAGGCAATGAGGGTCGCTCATCGGCAGTTGAAAGTAATGGTTACTCTGATAGAGTTGTCAACTCAAAAATATCACCCAAGTCATTATCTAGATCTTCTACACCAAAAGCCAGCATTGATTCAAATTCCCGGCCTGCTGTCCCCTCCAATGATAGCGATATAATACGAGGAGAGAATGCTCAGTATTCTATTAGTTCTCCGACAACACCAATACCTGATACCCCGTCGTCAGATAGAGAAGGAGATAGAAATATTATAACGGACAATATTAGTGGACCATTTGTGGGGGACAGCAGGCGGGATAGATGTATAGAACTGTTATATAATGCAATGGCGTTCGATTCATCTAATGGTAAGGCGTTGGTTATCAATACCATTATACTGATTTAGACAATAACTAATTCCGTGGCTTTGACCCTTTGGAAGACTCAAAAACAATTCTAGAGCGAGCTATCAAAATAGAGAAGACTGTATTAGATCAGTTTGGCGGAAAACAAGAAAAAGAATATAGAGACAAACTTCGCAGTCTAATTCTTAATTTAAAAGACAAAAAGAATCCGGAATTGCGAGCGAGTGTAGTAAGTGGCGAACTACCCGTGACTAAATTCTGTACCATGTCGAAAGAGGTAAATAATATCATGTGTATGGTCATTGTTTATCGTGATAGATCAAGATGGGCTTCTGTTGAGATGACGAAAAAACGCAAGACTTACAATCATTTGTTTATTCTCTAGGATATGGCTTCAGAAGAAAAGAAAGCCCGCGACCGGGCTATTCGTCAGATTAAACTATTCGAGTCACGTGGAGCAGGACCCTCGTTGGCTGAAACCGACGCATTTCGTTGTGGCAAGTGCGGTAATCGTAAATGCACATACTATCAAATGCAGGTGAGTATGCAGATACATCGATGTTGATGAACAATCCGAGTTTGTTTTTATTTAACACCAATAATATTATAGACGCGTAGCGCTGATGAACCAATGACGACATTTGTCACTTGCACTATCTGTAACAACCGATGGAAGGTAAATGTGATTTCCTTTACGCTTACTTGGAGTTTCGGTTTAATATAAACTCTGCTGACGTACATTTAACTCTTCTCAGTTTTGTTAAAGCTAATCTGTACGATAATGTGATCTTACCATGCGGGCCGTTGGTTAGTCATTCGCTATCTCAATGGTGATGTTCGCCATTTGAAGATGGTATTTTTGACGCGCTTTAAATAATTCTTTGTTTTATAAATAGTTTTTTTTTTTGTTTTTGAGTTCGCCGAAAGTCGGTAATTAATAAGTGTTCTGTTTGAACAAGAATGCAAGGTTTAGCCGTTGCAATAGTCTTTTTTTTTCCAGCTCTCCTTTCTCTCCTTGTCGTCAGAGCCTGACGAATGTAACTAGTTGAAATAAATCGGAAGTATTATTCGTATTTGTTATAACGGCTATTTGATTACGCTGTTTAGCTATTAGATGTTGAACCAATCGCTAATATGTCTATTAAGCGTACATGTTTTGTTTGTAATTTCTGCTGCTTAATTACTTTTAGCAAGCAAATTAATATTAATATTTAAAAATAAAAAAGAATTTTGTGATCATAATCCGAGGATTATACCGATTTTATTGCTAGATACAGCGGCCATTCATCTGAGAAAGGCCTCGAAAACAGATGCGTTTATTGATCACAGACCCAACTAGTACGCGTAAACTTTCTAGCATACATCCAAACTCAATTGCGAATAAGTATCGGCATTACACACAGTTGACTATTGGTTAGTAATTTTCAATTATAAAAAAGAATTGCTTGGAAGATGAGCCTCGATCCAGAAGTCATTTACAATATCCAGATTACGTCTACTAAAGAAGCATAAATGCTTTTGAGAATAATTAAAGTATCGATGTATACAGTACGTTATCATTATTATTATTGTAAATTCACATAATGCTGAGTGGCTGTGCATACCACTCCGTTGATCGAATTCACACATGTAATTGTCATTAATAGAACGAGGTTTCTAAACATATCGGGTGGCTTAGATGACTCAGAATGCATGATGTTGCAACACATTCTCACCGATAGACATTCAGAAAATTCCCATGAACGGTTTAAGGGTTAACTTGCACAACTTTTTTGGAAATGAGCACATGGCTCTAAACTATGTAAATATGACAAGGATTAAACTTATGCATATAATTACTATAATTTAATTTAATGTATTATCGTCTGCTAGTTATACTAATTGAATTCCCAACCCTATATATTAAAAACTTTACATTGATTATTGTGAAAACCGTAGAGTATTAATTGCGAGTATTGTTAAAGTATCGTCGGTATCAGTTCTTCAAATTAACCCAGTTGAAAAAAGAGTCTATAAATCTAGGGGGATCGTAAAAGTATCGCGATATATTCAGGGGGCATCGTGAGGTAGGGATATCGTGAGGTAGGGATATCGTAAAGTACGGTATCGTCGTCTATTGTGGCTTTGTATAATAAAATATTTAAATGTAGACAAGCTGAGGCGCACCTAAGACGGATCTTTAAAGCTGCTTCAATATTTTTCTTTGCAACGGTTATTTTGCGTCAACAGACTAAACAAAAAATTCGTTATTTTTTGAAGTGCAAAAATCTAAAAACGCAAACATTATTATTATATAGTAAATTGAGACCTTACTACTGTTATGTTTATAACTTCCTAAATTAAATCAAATATATATCGATATATACATTCAGTGGAGAAAAGTCACCGGACACTTTATGTATTCGAATACTGCTCGGGATAATGTATAATAAAATGATTGTAAACTTTTACCATAAATAGTTAGTATCCACAAATAATTCTATAGTGTAACAGTCGCGAATATTGATGTAAACAAAGTCAATTGGGGCAGACTGCAACAAAACCAGACAAAGTGAACATTCTGAAATAAGAGGCTTGTGTGGCTGAAAGTTAACTAATTTGACTAATA